AAAAACACATCACATCATATCACCTGTACATTCATACAGATGAGTTACTCCACACCCACTAAAATATCACATCATATCACCTGTACATTCATACAGATGAGTTACTCTATTTACCACGGCAAGTCAAAGCTGGATCCAAAAGTTTTGTGAGGGCTACCTTTGAAGTTCCTGTTGTGGATATGGAGGCATATTACTTGACCACATAAAATAAATTAGAAGGCCAGCATCACATCGAAACTAGGCCTATACTATAGTAAATATTTTGGCATAGGCCGCTGATAAATGAATCGCGTTGTTAGTGTAACCAGCCACCTTGGGTGAACTGGTGTAATCTTGTCCTAATCAGTTAGTGATGGGAAGCAGTGAGGTCTGGTGGCTGCATGCCTCAGGGCAATTCCACAGCTAGCCAGGGCCTGCACCCAAGACCAACAGGTCACTTTCCCACAGACTGTTGTTAGGAGTAGACACACGTACTGCACACCTCTAAACTGGACACGTAAAGCCGTATTTTGGGTACAATTCCCAATCCACCAACCCCTTTTTTATTTTGCCTAAGATCGTAAGTGGTTGTTTGCTAATAAAACAGCCTAGCTTGAGGAACCAGGTCCGGTTACATTGCGTCGTAGACAGGATTCAAGCAAAAAGGGGTTGGTAGGAAAACATTGGCAACCTTGCAGGGAAAGACTGGGCGTGTGATAGACACCACCGATGCCCACCATGGAGGAACTGGAGGAGAAGATAAAGGAGCTCACCAAGCGGCTAGAGGAGCAGGGAGGGCCCCACCAGAAGACGAAAGTTGTGGTAGTCCCAAGAGAACGGGGCTCCAAGCTCGCTGGGCGACCCCGCACAGAAAAGGACCCAGAAGTCACAGAATGGGTCGAGGATATGCGCCGGATGACAAGTGACCTGTCGGCGGCAGAAGGGGTACAGTTCATACTGGACCATCTTGAAGGTGCAGCAAGAGATGAAATACGACTTTGCCCCACAGCTGACAGGGACACCCCGAAGAAGATTCTGGACCGTGTGATCAAGACCCTGTGTTCGCAGGACACTCCATTGTCCCGTTGGGGTGAGTTCTACACTAGAGTCCAGTGAGGGGGGAGTCCATTCAAGATTTCT